GGGCGGAGTCTAGTGTTTAAAATAGGGTTTTGGGCTAAAAATCCCGTGTTTTGCACTTTAGTCTCTGAAATTTCCGCCTCCTGCCGCGGTTCTACCGCGGTCGTGGTCAAACCGCGGTCAAACATGGCCTCTGCTGCTTCAATTGTCTGCGAGCAGCCCTCACCGCGGTTCTGCCGCGGTCGCGGTAAAACCGCGGTATTTCATCCTGTTCCGTTTGGAATATGGAAAAACGTAAAACATGAAAGTTGTAGTCCTTTGAGTCAGATTTCCAACCATATATTATGGAGCCAAAATGGAGTTCTGATTAAAACGTTATGTCTATTTTACTAGACAGTGCGCAATATGCCTCTTCGAGTTTTCGTTTTGTTGTTTTATCATCCGTTGATCCCCGAACGCGATCCCGGCTTAATTCCTTGAGCTTTTACTCAGACTTCAAAGCTTCAAATTACTTAAATTCATTCCATAACATCTATATAGCTCGGAATCACACCTACAAGGCATAAAACACATAATAGTGCAAAACACTAGCGATTAAAGCGCAAACTCAACTAAAGTGCAGTAAATTAGAGTGTAATAATCGACTAAAATACGTAATTATAGCCTATCATCAAGTAGTCAGATGCTTTTCTAGTTGCACTTGATAATTAGAAAATAAAACATTATCTTGTCGCTTGTGAGCCTGTTATGCTACTCTAGGGGTGACAAAATGGTTCAAAGAAAATAGTTAACCATCCATATTATCCATTAAAAAATGGGTTGGATAATGAACTATTTAAAAACAGATCAAATATGGATAAGAACCATATTATCCATTTAGAAAATGGATAACCAATGAGTAACCAATGAGTCTAACTTTTACACTTGTAAAGCCTCAAATTGGGAGTTTCTCAAGTTAGGGAGACTAAGAATTCTCCCAAAAGTGATCATATGCAAGAAGTCATGGATAATATGGTTACCCATATTATCCGCCAGTTAATCCGTTTTTTATCCGTATTAAATATGGGTCGGGTCGAATAATTTACCCGTTTTTCATTACCCGTTTTCGACCCGAACCATATCCGACCCGACCTGCCCGTTTGCCACTACTATACTACTCCTGGATGGTAGTCTCAGACAAACAACTGGGACGCTGTAATTCTTTTGAATCTCATTAGTTCCCCCCAATGATGTGCTGTTAGTCTTAGTTTGTTGTGCCAGTCATCCTAATTGGTTAGCTCCTTGCTATGCTATTCTTCACAATTTAGTAAAACTTCGTGCTTGTCACCTTCTGTGTTGTGTGTAATATGTTAGTACTTTGATCACGTGGCGTGTGTTTTCTATCAATATTGTCCTAACTGCTTAGTCCAAGTCACATCTTGTTCAGTATTGTGGGATCGAGTCTACTATACTTGGCAAGTGGAGGGATTAAGTACGTACTTGCCAATATTCATCTAGGTTGTATTTCTGTCTCTGACTTTACTGGGAAACCTGAGTTCGAGGATCAAACATTTGTTAAAACTGATTCCACATTAGCCTAATATTAGTATTGTAAAGGGGATTGTTCAGCGATCAGCACTCATCCGGTAATCTTAGGAATCAAGTCCTCAAATAGAACAACACAGATCTCCCAATGAACAACTAATATCTTTTAGTGTCCTCTGCGTATCGGTTAAAACTTAAAAGCAGCAACTTGGGTTGTGCTTTGTCGCTATAATGGTGATGTTTGGTCCTTCCTCTCGAGCCGAGGGTCTTTAGGAAACAACCTCTCTACCTCCCCAGGATAGGGGTAAGGTCTGCGTACATTATCCTCCCCAGACCCCATTTGTGGGATCCCGCTGGGTCTGTTGTTGTTAGACGGGTATAACGGTGATATTTGGGTATGTTTGCTCACACTTCAATTGGTCCAGTGAATACATGCTATCTTCTACTAGTATAAATGCCGGTTAACTTTGCCCTCTAGGCTTAGTCGAGGGAGAAGAAATTGCTCTTTCACTTGTTATCAACTAAACGAAGAAACTAGGTGCAGAAGGAGGCACTATAACCCTATACTTATCTACGGTTAATCTTCTTTTGACAACTAGGTAAGTGACGGAGAGGTCTGGTTGGTTCAAGTAAAAGAATGAGTTCTAGACTTCTTTGCTCTTTGCCCCTTCTTACGTATATCAATAAAATCATTTGGTATAGCGCTTATAAAATTACCATGTTTAATATTGTTCAACACCACTTAGTTCACACCATCGACTCAACAGTGAAGAAACAAAGTAAATACTGTAGCTAAAGATATAATCACGAATAGGCGGTAAAGGAGGAAGGAAATATTTTATTCCATTTTCTTGTCATTTTTGCGACATTTTATGTTGAGTTTTTTTTTTAAATTTATTTTATTCACATTATATTGCTCACTTTAACTGAACAGAGAATGTTGAGATGCCTCAAATTTTAAATATACATTGAAATATTGTCGAACTAACTAGAGAGTTTCAGAGAAAATTCAAAAACGACAATTCTATTGTACTGAAAAGATGTCAATACGAGAATGTGACATTTACTTTTCACAATTTTTTATAACGAAAGCGATTCCAAGGGTCAATACTTCGATGATTAATGGTTTGGTCCTGTATTATTCTCTACTAAGGCATTAAACTTTTACATGTAGCAACGTTCAAATTCCTCGTTCGCGCTTATATCATTAGACTAAGAGTGTGTTTGGTAGGAAGGAAAACATTTTCATGGAAAATGAGTGGTTTTATAACTTATTTTCCCTTGTTTGGTTGGTGAGTGAAAAACTTTTTCCGGAAAATATTTTCTAGTGTTTGGTTAGTGAGTAGAAAATATTTTTTAGGAAAATAATTTTTTATGTTACTCTCTTCACCCCCTTCCTCCAAGTCCCCATGTTTCTTATGCTCTCCCTCCCCCCCTCAAAAATTTGCACAAACCCAAATGAACTAATGTGTTGCATTATTTTTTTACCCAAAAATAACGTTGAAATTTGTGCTCCATAATTAAAAAGAAAATACTCTTTCTTTTTGTTAAAAGAGAAAGTACTCTTTCTAGAATATGAAAAGAAAATACTCATTTCGTTGAAATGAAAGAAAATACTTTTTCTACATTTTGAAATGAAAGAAAACACTTTCTCTACATCATAAAAAACCTTTTTTTTTTGTTGAAATGAAAGAAAATGCCTTTACTACATCATTTTGTTGAAAGGAAAGAAAATACTTTTTTTATATCATGAAAAGAAAAATATTCATTTGTCGAAATGAAAAAAAATACTCTATCTATANTTGATGGAGATGAAAAATAGGATGGGGAAGGTTAAAAAAGAGCTTTGGAAAATTAGTTCATGAGAAAAATATTTTCCACAACATTTAAGCCAACCAAACATAAGAAAAACACGCCCAAAAGCTCAAGAGCTTTTCGGTCTTTTTTTGATATTTTCATTGCTTTGTTTGTTCTTTCTCTTAGGCAGTGAAAAAAGAGAGGGTTAGAACTTATGCGACGTGAATCTGAATTAATAGAAAATCAAAAGGAAGAAGAAGAAAGGGTATTCAATAATAGTTTATTTGGTAATAGTCTGGAAAAGACATGGATCCTATCGGGATAAAATACACTTGAGAATTAAATATATTAAAAGGCATAGTTAAAAGGTCAATACCTCTACTCCCCCGGAGTAACGTAAGGTTTACACTCCCACTTGTGAGATTCCTATGGGTTATTATTGTTATTGTTGTATTTAAAAAATTAATACCAAAAATATAAATAAATCACCGGATATCAGTAAATATGACATGAGATCTTTTTAAGAGTACGTTGTTCTGTTCAAATTGTTAGTGAGCATGGAAGACATTTATTCTAAAATTTATCCAAATATATTTTCACAGTTCTAGTTGTTTTTAGCTAAATAAAAGTACATTGGATGGTAAAAAGTGGAATGAAAAATATACTTCCCCGTCTTAATTTCTTAAGCTTTGACTCGGCACAAATCTTAAAAAAGAAAGAAATACTTGGAAACTTATAGAAATTTATGTGATTTTAAATTTCATTAAGAATAAAATAGGAAGATTAAAAATTAAATTATTTTTAAAAACTAAATAAAAAGATACAAATACAACACATACTAACTTTTCGATGACACAATTATTGATTCCTTTTGTACATCAAGTATCAATTTAGTGATTGATTGAGAATATTGGGAGATTGAAATTGGAAAAGAAAGGGGGAAAACACAGTTACCTGTAAAGGGGAAGCAGCTCAGATATTGCTAATACTTCACCCAACTTGGCGGTGTAACTTTGTAGTGCGACAACTGAACTTGATAATGGCGGACGAAGATTTACCACCTGCTATAAGGTTGATGAGTTTTGTCTCCGAAGAACAGGTAAACCGTAAACCCTTGCTCCCATTTCCTCTCTTCACACGGGTTTCTTCCGCCATTAGTTGTTTCCTTCAAACGTGCGTTTTTTCGTAGTTGGAAGAAGCCAAGAGAACTCGGGGTGCTCGGGTCGAGGACGGAACTGCTCAGAGAGATCGCCCACTTTATGAGGCCCGACAAAACTCAATAAACTCCCTTCTGCTTGTCACTTATTGTTTCTCTATCTCCTTCCCATCTAGTTACTGGGCGGTTTGTGTAAATTCTTCAAAATACACTATAAAGATTGACAACAATGTGCATGTACCTTCAGGATACTTACAAACACTTGTATCAAATATCCTAGTATCAATTAGTGGCGCAGCCAGTAATTTCTATAAAGGAATTCGAAAAGATATTAGAATCTCATAGTTTGAATTCAAACTTATGACCTGAAGCAACTTTTTGAACCCACTTTATCACTACACTAAAAATTTCCCTTATGTCAAGGGGATCCGACAGTTCATATAAGATCAAATCTTTTTTATTTTATATTTTACACGACAATATAATTTTTCGACCAAGGGAATTCAATAGAACATTACTGGAATTGTGTTGTCAAAGCAATAATTTTGGAAATTAGTACCTTCTATTATTCTAAGTGACATTATTTTTCCTTTCATTGATTATCCTTTCCAGTTTCAATCTTTTGTGTTAAGGTAGCTGTGGTCCATATGTTTATGCTCTCTGGTATATATGTTCTTCAAATATCAAACTCTCCAGCTTGAGTTATATTTTTCATTGAAACCGCAGATTTTGAAGGAAAACAAGGACAGGAAAGATGCTGAATTTAATGAGCGATTTAAACACCGTGAGTAATTAAGGACCCTTTTCCTTTTTTGTTTCTTGTGGGTTACTCATTTTGGTGCTTGTGCTATTAATTTACAATTGCTTGGAAATGTATCTCTTTAATGTTCTTGTAGGACCACCTAAAGCCTTGGATGATGACGAGACCGAGTTCCTTGATAAGCTTGAAATGGTTAGATGTTGCTTAAGGTCTTTATGTTTGTTTGAGATACAACTAATAGATAATCTATACATGCTTTGTCATTGCCATGATGCCATGTCCACGTTATTTAAGCTACTTATGCTTAGTCTTTGCCGTCATTTCTTCACATTTGATGGGGAACATTCTACCTTTTGCTTTAAGGACTCATCTAATTTGAGATTGGATGCTTATATGAGCAGTGGGAGCTTAGTGAATGACTATCTCAAAATTCAGCTTCTTATATCAACTTAAAGTTCCTTTGTTCTCTTCCAAGCGACAAGCCCTCTGATCGCGGAGTTTAAACTTACAGTTATTTTATGCATAATGATTCATGATTTATAATTCGTTGATTGTAGTAGTATATATGGATGTTACAATGGATGTGCGGGTCATACAAAATTAGAAATACTTTCATATGACAGAAGATACAAGAACTACTTAGAGGATAAAACAAGACAAGTTTGCTTGAGATGTATAACATTCATGCTTGTAGTCTAGGGTGGACTAGTGTCACGACCCAATTTAGGATCGTGACTGGCGCTTAGGAGCAAGTGCTCCCAAGTAAGCCTTATCGGTATTTTACAGACAAACGAACAGAGTTTCTCCTGTTTTTGGACTATCCAAAATTTTTTTTGTCTCATAAATAAATAACAACCAATCAATATTCACCTAAATCAGTCACAATCTTCATCAACTAACCACAAATGAGTTTCCACCAATATTATCAACATTATCAACATAACAAAACCAAAGCCAACTCTATAAATACGGAAAGAAAGTGTAATACTAGTAACTAGGCCATATTAACAAATGAATACTCACGACACTAATAAGATAACGCTGGAGCAACTCTAAGAGTTCAAAAGACAAGACTATAGCAAATTCGCCCACGCAAACGAGTGCGGGGATCACCAAGAACTATCAACCTGTGCGCTCTACTTTACGAATTACTCGCCAGCGTCAACTGCTGTCTTTGTAACAAAAATAGGGACAAGTCAGAAAACATACTTGTATAATAATAATCAAAACTATGATAAAAATAAAATGCCCTCTCAAATCTATAAATATAATCAGTCTATTCATGGGTTTCCTATAACAAAAATCAATATAACAAATCGGTAATAAACTCGGTAAATACTACTCCCTCTGTTCCAATTTATGTGAACTTGTTTGACTGGGCACAAAGTTTAAGAAAAAATGAAGACTTTTGGAATTTGTGGTCCTAAACAAGTTAAAAAGGGGCCTAGAGTATTTGTGTGGTTATAAAAGCTTCTCATTAAGGGTAGAATTGTAAGTTTAAGCTAAATCGTTTCCAAATTTAGAAAGAGTTCATTCTTTTTGGAACGGACCAAAAAGGAAATAGGTTCACATAAACTGGAACGGAGGGAGTATGTCATAGCAAATCTTTATGTTTGGGAGGTTTGCAAGAAAGGATCATGTAATCTGTATTACTATGTGGACTCCTTTGTAATAGGAGTCAAATATAGCTGTAGGTCCCTACTCGAGGGAAAAACTATTACTATATGCTAGTTACCTTCCCACTAGCAAGAGCTATAATTGTAACTAGTAATCTGTAAATACAAGGTGCACCAGGTCTAACGAACCTGCCGTTAGCTATGAGATCCTTCAAAGTCTTCTCCCATTTATACTTTTCTTTGTAAACAATAAATATTCAGTGTTTGCACCTATAGACCTCTTGACGTTGCTCTTATCCTAGTTTCAGACTCCTTACTATTTTTTGATGCCAACATTGAGACATGCTAGGTTATGACTTATGATTTTGATTTTTATCCTACTTAGCCTCTATTTTTGCGGAGATCTATATTCATCTACCATTTTCCAGAGGGTAAGAAAAAGAAAGTTCAGTTGAATAGAATAGACCCAAATACCTGTGCCTTAAAACCTAAGATGCTCTCAGGCACTACTCCCGAGGCATCTCTGTACCATGAATCCTAGGATTTTATCACCACCCACAGATAGCCACCCCCACCGCGACCAAAACCCAGAAAAATCTCTGACGGACAGCCTGCCACGCGCCCACACGCGTGGCCCACTTCCGGCGACCTTTATGCCACGGGCCGGCACGTGAGGAAATTTCCGGCCAGATCTCGTCTGGTCGCCTTCAGACAGCCTCTTCACGAGGCTATTCCGAGCCTACCCATCTAACTTTCTCCAAAATCCGACGACTTTCACTATTTTCCGGCGATGGGGGAGGTTTTTTCCGATCAAATTTCAAATCTTCTTCTTCAGTCAACCTTTTAGAAATGATGGACTCTACAGAGAGAAACTCCTACTTATCTCTAGAATCTGGAAAACTGGAAAAAGTGTCTTTTATCAAAGCTGTCTCTTGGTCAACCCTAGAACTTGAGGGAAGATGTCATCGAAAGCTCGACGTAGGGCAGAAACCGCACTTCTCGCTGTCTGAGGAGCACACTCTCAGGCGCAAGGGTTTCTTGAAATCTTGTCTGATTGAATTTTTCTCCAAATGGGTTGGTTCTCTAGAGGCTGTTAGGAATTGGGCAGCAGATGCATGGAATGTCAATGACGAGCTGAAAATAACGCAACTGGGGGATACGCAATATCTCTTTCGATTTCTCGACGAGTCTCAAGCTTCAGAAATTTTTGTTAGAGGAAACATATGGTTTGATGGGAACTTTTTACATCTAGACAAATGGGTGGAGCATGATGGGTGTCTTGACCATTGTTTCACCGGCGAAACATTGGTGGTCAACATGGTGGGTCTCCCGGTGCATCTTTGGTGCCTTGACCTCTTCAAGAAGATTGGGAAAATCTGTGGGGGCTTTCTTGATGTCATTTGAAGCCTACATGATCTATTGCGAGTGAGGATTGTGGTGAGGAAATGAGGCAGAATCCCTGTCTCCACTGTGATGGAAGATGGCTACTTGAGTTATAGGGTGTGGTTGAACCCTGAATTTCGCCCTATCTTTATGCCTGTGATAGTGGCGGAAGAAAAGGGAAGGTCAAATAGAAGGGAGGGCATGGGAAACCAGTCTCTGAGGGGAGGGGAGGGCTCACCGGATCAGTGGTCTAAGCCAGAATCAGATGTTAGATCTAGAAGAGACGAGAGGTTTGAATTTGGGAGAAGAAGACAAAATTTCAACAGGAGGGAAAGACGTGAATGGGTTAGTGATGCGGGCCGGAAAGGTAGAATGGGCCTGTCATCTTCTAATTATCCTAGGGCTAGGCAAGTTTTCAGCAAGTATAGGCCCGGGCCTCCTTACATGGCCCCAATAACTTTTCCCAATTCTATTAGAATTGATCCTAAGGGGCCCAGATTATTTCAAGCTGCGTCTGTTAAGGCTCCTAAGCATATGGGAACAGTCGTTCTTCCTTCTTCTGCCAATGGTGCTACACACAGTGGCATTTCTGCACCGAGCTCTAGTGACCTTCGCCCTTCTTCGATGGCCGCTGCTTCAGGGATGGCACCGGCTATAGATGGTGCTGTTATTCCACGACCTCCCGCCTCTGATGGACTCAGCTCCATCACCCCCTCACCTGCTCCTGGGCTTAGTTGTGTTGAGGCTACACTTCAAGCTTCTTCTTCTTCTTTTGGGAAGATCGTTGAGCATGCCCCATCTGATGTTAGTGCCGGACCAGTATCTCCAGTTAAGATGCCGCCAAGGGCTCCATGCTCTCCTCCTTCCTGCTACCCTACTGGTGTTCTTGGTCATTCATGTAGCAGCGGGGTGCTAATTTCAGAGACTGATACCCCTCAAGGAAATGGC